AACCGCTGATGTTGTGGAGCTGCATCCTGCATAGTTCCCCTGAGTAGGCGTGCAGGGATGGTTTACTAATGTACTTGTTCTCATCCGTGCAGTGAATATCTTGCCAACTAATCATTAGTCAAATCAACTCTCTGACCTTTGGAAATGGCACGTAGCAGCAAATTGAGCCTCTAAATATAACTTTTACATAGCTCGCAAGCTATACTGACTGCTTTGTAAGTGAAGGTGCAGCTAGGACCTCACCCTTTCATGCTACCTAGAGTTTCCCTTGCCCTTGCAAACAGCAAGCCACATGTCTGCTCTGTTAACAAAAAGCCCATTTTCCTGAAATCACTGAGCCATCCCGATAGTGGAAGTAACAAACAAAAATTTAGGGAAGGGAGATGAAGAATATAATTTTTATGTTGCCACCTAGAAACATTTTTTGAGGAAACAACTGGAGATACAATTATTTTTTTTATTTATTATTTATATAGCGCTGGAGTACACGGCGCTGTACAATAGGTGAAGTGTGCCAAACACATAACAGGTCCCTGTCCCGAGGAGCTTACAGTCTAAAGGCACAGCCGGTACAATACCGAACCATACAGTACAGAGCAAACACAGAGTGAGCAGAGAATGGTGTTTGAGCATGGTAGCTGGAGCGCTGCGAGGAATAGGTGGGTTCTCGGGGGGCAAGGGAGGGGGCTTGGCATATGCTGACTGGGAAACTATCCCAAACATACTGTTGCTGCATAGTTTTCTTTTGTTGCCTGTTGTACAAGAAGTCATGACCCTGGGTATATTTTAATTGTAACAGAGCTGCCTAATTTCCCCATGTAAAACAGAAAGTCTTAGCTGTGCACTGTGTTCACTAGTGAAAATGTGAGGCATAGCAGGTGTCAGGGACTCCAAGAGTATAAGTCAGTGTTCATTACTGTGAACTGGGAACCAGGACTTCAGATGCTAATATTAAGCTCCCAACTTCACTGCCTACAGTAATAAGGGTCTTAAAAAGAAATAAACCTGTGCAAGTAATTGTGGAAAATGCAGATTAAGAGATCTTTTTCCTTTAATTTCTTTAGTGATGTGCCCACAACTGAGAGTGTCCCCAGACTGGTTATAAAAGTGAGAGTCCCAGAAAACATATTCCGTAACAAGTTTGCAGGGTGCAATGTATCCAAAACATAGTCTTAAAGAAAGCAAACAAAAACCTGTCATTCAAATACTGACCTGACCCAAACTGGTTTAGCCCGCTAAACATGGCATGACTTGACAAACCCCTGAGTTCCCACCCAGCGCTGTGATTCCAGTGCAACAAACACTATGACTATACTTGTAGATTTATTTAGGATTATTGTTTTCTTAAAATAAAAATTAGGGCTAAATGAGTTTTATTTTTTAAGGAAAGACCATAAGTACCTTTAAGTTTGGATTTCTGTGGGACTTGTTGCAGCACAGAGATGAATTCTTATAGGAAAAAAATATATTAAAAATGCCCATGTTCCATTTTACTTTATTGAAAATTCAGGTTTGGGTCAGACAAAACTTCTGATAATCTCTAAAAAATATTTCAGATAATTTAAAAATTCACGCACACAAAATAAAAAACCCCTATGATTTCAAGCAAATATTTATAGACTTCTAAAATTCTTCATTCTGCTTATTTGCTTTAATACTTACCTGAGAAATTTCAGCATGTGAACTTCATATGAATGTGGAAGACTGCCAAGGTCCAGTCATCCTCTCCTGGCAATACCTCGCCATCCCTATCCACCCAGGCACCAAGGGGTTACCTGTGTGCCATGCTCTGTACAGGGTGACTAAGCCCTCTGTTCCTACACCTGCTAGTCATGAACCCCTGTTAGCTGGCAACAGTACAGAGCCCACAACACTGGTTACGCATATTTCTGCAGATATATGTCTGTCTTGTACATTTCAAAAACTTTCATATGTTTATTTATCCAAGGAGTAAAGGGATCATACTGGGACTAAAACTTGCTAATATGGAAAGATGCTTGGCGGTTCTAACCTGCATGAGTAACCAACATGCTGACTTTTTAAGCTAACATGAAATAGTTTTAATAGTATACGTTTTAAACTAATATAAAACAGCTTAAATAACCTGCTTGACAATTAATATTCATTAACATATTTTTTCTTTTAGTTTAACCCAGTCAAAAGTGAGTTGCCTCAGGGAAATTCACCTGCCTGTGAGGCAGCAGAAAATGAGAATGTACGACTAGTCTGTATGCGTGGACTAGTCTATACAATAAAGGACTAGTCTGTATGATAAAGGACTAGTCTGGATGTGTGGGATAAAGACATTCAGAAGGGTCGGCAGGTTATGGCATCTGCTGAAGGTCAGGCAGGAAGTTTGCTTTAAGGAGGGAACAACCCCTTCCTCTCCCCTGGGCAGCAGTTTTCCATTTTTGTGTATCAGTAGTAAGCCCTTAGTACAGTACTTGAGCTGATGCCCTGAGAACAGTGCAGAGCCTAGCAGCCTTTTCTCCAGCTGCTTTAGGGAAAAGCCTTCCTGAGTTCCCCACCCCAAACCCACAGGCTTTCAAAGGGATTGTTCCAATATCCAGCCAGACACCACCACCACCCTTCCATGGCCTCCTCAGCGGGCCATGAAGCTCATGAACCAGCTTCCAATTCAGTTGCCGTCTTTTGCTCTCTCCTCCCATGTTTTTGTTTATAAATAATGAAATTAATTACGAAACTACAAAAAAAAAAGAAAAAATATTAAATTAATTAGACAAAAGGTTAAGTGTTACAGGATGGCTGAGTAAATGTGCAATGCACTTATTTTGACTTGTATGATTCCAATTTCATATTCAAGATAGAAAAATTCATTAAAAGTTCATCTTAAATATTTGTGCCAAAGACACCTCCATGTGACTCAGGTACTAGGGGAGCCTGAACAACAAAAGAACCCACACAGACTAGGATATTTGTATTACAGAGACTGAGGATATCAGTTTCCTAAATTCCCATTTCTCAATAGGAACAGGGCAGTCAGTTTTTTCATATGATTAATTCCATAACTAATTTAATCAAAACTAATGATAAATTTGAAAATACATTTTCACTATTAACTGCATACAGTTAACGCATAGACTTTTACAATTTGGGCAATATTCACAGTAAATACCAAGACTTTTCCCTCTTATCCCAGCCTCTCCTGAAACTGTTTCGGCAGCCAGGCCATAAATCTGAAATTGTCTAACAGCACAGTTAAGCACAGTATTAACCTGGTTTATTACCTATAGCGTAGTTTAAAATATAGCAAAAAAACTTACCTGGTTACTAGGCTTTATGGCACCTTCCTGAGTACAAGTTTGACCTGCTCCTCCCGGCTTTGTTAACTGTCTGGGTTGTTTCCGTGCTGTGTTGCTGAGCTGTTGTTAATCTCTGCCGTGAAGAGAGAGGAGTCGTTTTATTGCAGCTTTATCTGTTATTCTGTGGAAGGCTGCTGAAAAATTCATTGTTATTCTTTTTTTGTTTTGTTTTGTTTTGTTTTGTTTTGTTTTGTTTTGTTTTGTTTTTTTGGTGGATCCCTTTTTATGGTCTTTCTGTGCTGAGTGTGTTGTCAATGGCTGGAAAGCTACATAGCCTGAGCTACAAAACCACAGTTCCGCATAACACATATATCCCATATAAATCTGAGCTCTGTCTCAGATTTCCCACTGGCAAACCCTGAATGGTCATGAACAGATAGATGATCAAAGTGAGGGAGAGATGCTGGCACATAATGATGACTTCTGGGAAATTTAGCACATCTGGAGTAAGCTGTCCCTCTTCCACCAAAGTTTGCATTATAATCTGTTTTGGACTCTCATCCCTCCCCAAAACTAAAGTACTTGTTGTTGTTTTTTTTTTCTTGCCATTGACCAAAACGTGTTCTGTGTATTTCTGCAGGCAGTTACCAGTCCTCGACATCCATTTGCAATGGGACTCTGGACATGCACTATGTGGAGCTACACCACATTGCATTGTGTCTGTGCTTTGCAAATACATAGACTGGTATTTGCTGCTGGGGAGCAGTTGAGGTTTTTAGTACTGTATGGGCCCAGTTCCCCACTCCCTCATTGCCTCTGCTTCCCTTTTAAATCTAGGTGTTGAATTAGGTCGGAATATGTTTGTTAACAGTCCCTGTCACCGAGTACTGTGGCAGCACAGAAACTTTTCAAAGGATGACTTTGGACACTGCAATTGATGATTATCAAAGCCAAGGTTTTTCAGCGCCAGGGGAATGCTGTAATGCCCTCTGGAAGCTGAGGCCTTTTCCTGAATTCAGCTGCTTGTTAGGGCTGAGTTTTTTCGGGTAATTGATTTGGAAAGTTGCTTTTATATCCAAGATCCGGCTGTACCACAACAGTAGCTGTACTATGGAGAACTCTTTTTTGAAAGAGCTACTGATAGTAATGCAATATTAGACTTCTGCAATTTCTTACAAGTGCACCCAGAAGCAGTGGAAACATTTGGGGGTTTTAAGGAATCTCCCTCATCCCTATACATACACACTCATATATAAAATTAAAAATTAACTTGGTATCAAATACCAGTTCAGGATTTCACTGCTACTTCGGAAGGAGAAACTGGGCTCAGAAGGACAAAGTTCTAAACACAGGGATCAGTAATAAGGCAAAAAAAAAAAAAAGATTTTATGATGTTTGTCATCCCTTTGCTCCTCTGTGAATGCACCCTCCTGTCTCTTGTTTTCCAATTGGTATTTCGGATCGCATCCCTGCACACCACTTACTTGAGTTAGTTGCATAGACTATAGCTTCTGCTGACTGGAAATCAGATTTCCCCACTAATTAATATCTTAACATGGTATCTTTGAAATCTGTTTAAACATAGCGTAGTTTGGGTTCCTGATGTTCCAGGTGTCCTTGCTGCATTGGTTGACCTTAGTCATCTGTCCTAATTGTAGTCATCTGGAAATCACTTGGTCTAAATCAGTCATCTTGGCTTTTTCTATCATTATGTGAGAGACCTTTTTTAGATTAGGTTACTGATTTTTGGATGACTAAAGTTAGATGGCATAACTACAAATATTTTTTTTAAGAAATCGAAATTTTTTGCTTGTGTCAATTAGTCCCTAAACAAGGTATTTTGTTCTGATTTACCTGCAAGTAAAGATTTTGAGGTAACAAAAATTTAAACCTTCTTGTGCAAAATTTAGACCTAATTCTACATAAAACTAAAGAAAATTGTATTTTCTTTCAATAAACTAAATTTCCTTTGAAAATTCCCACCTTTTCTAATTGCAAGAAAATATACAAATTAAATGGGTTTTGAGGACAGTTCTCAGATTTACTGATGTTTAATATGTACATTGTGAAAAGAAGTAATAATTTCTTTAGATTTGATCCATGGATTTATCACAAAGATAGCTGATACAGCTATAGCAATTTATAAACAATTATCAGTAGTTATATTATATCTTGACATTCCTAGTTGAAGGTCTAAGCCTATAAACACCTGTGCATGACTTTATTCACAGATGCTTTCAGGTTCATAAAAAGTCTTGATTCTCATTCAACTGTATATAAATGTAGTTTGAAGCAGTTTAGATGAAGGTATTGCCTCTTCTGTTAATTTTTTGGTCAAATTCAGATTTTATATTTAAATCAATAATGATTTATTGTAATGAAATTCACCCTCAGAATTGCTAGTCTTTTTTCCCCTAGTACACTTAACTGCTATGTATTGTTTTTATGATAATGATTATTATTATATTTAATGTTAACATAAAAAATGCAGATGTCTAAAATTTAATATTTTGGTGTTTGTTGTGTCCTGGTTTGTTGAAGGATAGAAACATTGTAACACTTTCCTCTTTTCTCCTTTTTTTTTTTTTAACCTAGCTTACCTTTTCTGAAGCCATAAGAAACAAAGCCAGACTATCCATCACAGGGAGTGTGGGAGAAAACGGACGCGTATTGACTCCCGACTGCCCGAAGGCCATGCATACTGGAACTGCAATTAGACAAAGTTCAGGATTGGCTGTAATTGCATCGGACCTACCATAAAAACCAAAAAAATAATTGAGTGCCTTAATCAAACTGTGTTGGTGACTGATGGGAACACAGCACAGACTGTAACGACATGGGAGTGTCATTGATGAACTAATAATTTGGCTGAGAAAGGGAAGTACGTCCAAATGCGCCAGACATCATCAGCAACAATGTGTGCATGAGCTCAGCTCGGAAACCCAAACTCAGATTTTATATCAGGAAAATTCATAATTTAGTTTTGTTGGGGGGAGGGGGCTAGGAAGGGTGTATTAACAGCAACAAATTTCACTTGAGTGGACTTAAAACTAATAAGACTTGCCAATTTAGCGCATTAAACTGTGAAGAACATGCTCAGAAAGGACAACATTTTGGTCTTTGTCTTGATAAAGAGAGAAAAATAGCTATAGAAGTCAATGAACATGCTAACCTGTGTCTCCAGAACATCAGTATATACAATGGAAGAATACTCAGCTGTTCAGCTGTAGAAATGAATCACTAAACTGTGATAAGAAAATAATAAATATGTAAATCCTGTGAAAAAATAAAGAAATTATTTACATTTTCTTTGAAAAAAAGAGGAATATTGAAACATGCTTGCTTTTTAACTGATGTAAATTCGGTAGAGGACAACACAATTCTTTTTTCTAACCATCTTAGGGAACAATTCATTGCAATAATTGATATAAAATGCCATCACTGTAATAAAATTCAGAGACTTTTTTTTATAAAAGTTGTTGGTCATCCTCTTGTTTGCTGTTACCTTCATTCTGTTCCATCATTCCATGTTCCACAGATTTGCATCTGTCTAATACAAGAAACAAAATGATAAAATGCTTAGAGTACGTCATCAGTCTGCAGTGTAGAATCAAAAGAGACTACGGGTCACTCATGTTACAGATATTATTTATAATCTTGTTCTGTGTAAGAAACTGTGGTTTTTGTACCCACCAAAAAGAATAAAACAACAAACGTTCTTATAATATCGACAGAGCTTGAGTTGTTTTCTGATCATTAGAGATGTCACCTGGAAAACAGAATAAGGTGGTTCATTTCTTACCGCAGGATTCAGGACTTTATTGGAGACAGTCTGAGTCCCTGTATATTTGTGAAATGCTTTTAAGTAGTTAGAGAGGAGGGACTCGAAGCTATCGGAGTATTGTCATGATTATTCACTAGGTATTTTATTAGCAGTCACTAAAACCCTTTCTGAGAGGTTACGGAACTATTTAGTGATACGAGTTGTTCTCTGGGTAGGTCAAGGGATGAGATACGAGGGGGCAGGATGCTCACCCCTAAGACACCATGACCACAAAGTGTGCAGGGGTCTTAGAGAAAAAGACACATAACACTACAGTAAGTCATTGTGACTGAACTTACTTTCTATCCGTGTTTTACTGGCATGTTTAGATCACTCATGAATTCCTGTGAACTGTTTGTGTTTCTGTGGCCATAATGGTGAGATGTCTGCATTTTCTCCTGTTTGAATAAAGCTGGGGAGCTCCCTCTCAGACTTCTTTTTACAGCTGAATTGAAAAAGTAGCTTCTGGGTTGGCTTCTTCTTGGGAAAAAAAAAAAAATATGTTTGTCTTGATTTTTTTGTAAATTATTACAGGCTAAACAGATTGGGAGACTGAGTGTGAAGGATGCTGTCTATTTTGTCCTACTGTGTACGTCTGTTTTTCCAGGAGCTTGTCTTCATCCTTTTTGTGTCCAGGACTGTAAGCAGTGCCAGTGCTGTCCTGGGATATTTTAGTGTCTTCCAGTGTTACTCCCCTTACATGCTCCCCTGTCTCTTTAATGCATTACATTTATTTTTCACCTTCAGTAAACAGCCCATTGCTGCAGTTAGGAATGTCACTCTATGGAGGCCATTTGTAATTGCCCGAGTCAGGTTTCCACTTGGCAACAAGACCCCCAAGTCCTTTGAGATGTCTTGTCCAGTGTCAGTAACTGTCAAGGATCCCCACCAAGAGGATTCACAATTGAGCAGCATGGGCAACGCAGCCACCAAGCAGCATGGCTGTGGCATGGTGTGACCCACCAAGGGCACACGGCCAGCAGCGACAGGGGGGAATTGTCGCCTCCTCTCACCACTTCTAAGCCTTGTCTTTGGCAAGGGAATGCTTTGCTCAAATAAGACTTGGTCAGATGAGGTGAAGAGGAGACTATGACTTTGCCAATGCCTGTTATAAAATATCATGGATATAAAATAAAATTAAAAAAGAAAACTAGATGGAAAAATGCTACAGCAGAGTGAGTTGACTAAAATTCGGGTGTTTGAGAAAGCAATCTTGGTTATCTGTCTGCTCTCTCCACAGTACCTTACTCTGTTTTCTTTTTACAGTGGGGTAACTGCTGCATGACTGTTACGACCATCTTCACACATCTTAGCTGCCCCCCAGACATCTTTTCTTTTGCTTTTCCCCCTTCTCCTGTAACACTAATTTTTCACTCCTCTCTGTATCTTCCCCCTATCCTTTTGAAGATGACTGACAGAAGTCACCCTCCTCCCATATTTCCTACAAAATATGACCCAAAGAAGGAGATCCCTTCTTCAGGTCAGGTTCAGGAATG